CGTGAATTATTCAGAGAAAATTCATTATATTTCCATATTTTTATATGATTAAAAACAACGAAAAAAGACTTGATGCTACTACTCTGAAGTCCTAAGTAATTGTAGTGTGTGGAAAAATCTTCCAAAATTAACAATTGTACTGTCCGAAAAATTGTACTTAATGGAAAAATCTTTCAGAATTAATAATTGCACTATGCCAAATAATTGCACTGCATGAAAAAGGTTGACAATTCCTATTATTTTTTGTAAAACCTTCTGTGGTCTATCTTTGCGAGTATGTACTGTACTCTGTGGAGCTCTGGGAACAGACAGTCTGGCACTGTTGGAGCTGGGGGAGGACTTTTAATTTTCTGCCTTTTTAATTTCTTCTGAAAGGAAGCATTCACACAAGGCACGTTGATCATATCTCGATCTGTCCAGATGATGCAAGAAGTGTTGATTGTTGTAATGAAACTGTTGTGCACCTCAAAGGACACAGATCAATTGATCTCCCATTTATCAAGCACGAGTGAGAAAAATCATACTTAACAAGAATTAAATACAGTTAATTCAAGCAGATCCTATGCCAAGTGAAAGCGACTCATTTTCAGCCTATTCTTGCATAGTGTGAACTTTCCCTAAAAGCCTTGCAATAGGAGCCGTCAATGTTGACACCAATTGTAACGACAACAAAAGCCCGACTGTGTATAGGCTGTGTAATTGTGGCACTAATGGAGAGTTGTTGTAATTAATATGCATAACAGCAGGTAAGATTCCATAAGCCCTGACTGGGGCAGAAAGAGATATTAATCATTTACAGCCATGCTGGTGTTTGCAAACGACTCCAATGAATCTATTCAAATAGCACTGACACTTCTGGTTACGTGTAGAGTTAAATTTTATTTTTTACTTGTGTTTAAGGGTTGGAAAGATAACTTAAGATGCAATGTATTGTGAAGAATATCTGGGGAAAACTTTTTTTTTCTTTTTTTTTCCTTTATAATGTCTTTTAAAGATGGCTTCAAATACCCCAAAAAATTGTATAGCCTTTTGGGTAATTACTCATCCCCAGATAAGCTGCTTGTTTATGAGAAAATTGATTGCATTTTAAAGTGACAGAGGTGGAATGTTGTTATCGCATTAGTCACTACTTTATGGTGATGTCATTATGTTGCGGTTCCACTACCTCTTGCAGTGATGTGGTTGATGAAAAAATAACTTGAAATGAAAGCTGCTTCAAATTAGGGATATTTTTGTTTAGAAATATGTCCACCTTTTACCTTTTGAATGAAGTCAGATGAAGATACAAGTATAGTTCATCTCTGATCCCAAGTTTTCTTTTTCAAAGGTAGCTACAGCCTGCTGGTGTTTCAGAAAACCAGGATGTTTTATAACAGTGCTCATCATGCTCAGCACTTTGTCTAGTTAAAAAACCTTCAAGCCTTTAAACAACTATGTCACGTTTGTTTCAAAAAATATCCTTCATGCCTAAGTGGTTATTGAAATAAAACAAGAAGAACCAACTCAGTAAAATATATATAATATACTGATTTAAACAAAGCTTTCAAGAAACTGTATTAAGTCAAGTGTCCACTTGCAGCAAAGCTATCAGCTTGTGTGAAAAGTGTGAAACTTCTGTTCACCGTTTTATTGATCTTCCCCCAAGTCCTCAGCCAGTCAATTATGTTCACATTGGATAGGGATATTAGGTCTTGGCATGAAAAAAACATCTAGTTAATTTCCCTGCACTTAGTTGTCTACAGTTGAATGAGTAGAATAGCACACATGACCGGTTACAATATTCATAAGTGACAGTGAGGAAGTTTTAGAACCAGGTTCACATCTAGAATAAGGTAAAAAGTCTCTGATATCGCTATACAATCAGAATTTGTAAAAATGAGAATTTGTATTTTAAATGACATTGTATAAAATGTTGGAACAGACCAAGGGAAGAGAGGGGGACTGCAATCTTTTTTCAATGAAATTTAGTTTCGGTATTGTGCATACCCAAGTAGACTACTTTAAACATTTGAGTGCATCAGTTCTGCAAAATGAAGATAGCTTCTACATCCATCTGTGTTAATAGACACAGTCATGCTGGCACTGAAAGAGAAATGATGTTTGCCAGGAAACATTTCCTATCAAGTGTAAACACGCCCTAAATGAGTACTTTCAACACAAGACCTGTTCAGAACAGGCCCAACTTGAGTCTACTTGCAGATAATTTGAATTCAACTGGCTTAAATATCTGAATCTCATGTTTTGCCTTTTGGTCACCTGACTGTATCTGTAAGACAGTTTTTTGGAGTTCTAACTTGGTCCTGATGGGAACTTGTCCTTACTCTCTAAGGGTACTCAAGTTGTACTTAACATGGGGACAATCCAAGTGTGGTAAATGTCAGCTATGTTGTACATTGTAGAACAGCCTTATCTGATGTTCTGTGAGATATTTACAATCTGGCACATGGAATATCTGGTGGAAGTGTTAAAGTCAGGTAAACACTTCTGGGGTGTTTGTAAATTCTCCCTCTATAAAGGTACACAAGACACAGAGAGAGTGCCTAGAGGGGCACTTTTATTTGATGTATTACTTCTATTATCGCTGTTAATAGTGTTTTTCATTGAAATGGCTATTAATTGTTGTAGGTCAATGGAATGCTCTAAGTGGACACAAGTAATCATTATTGTAGGCCTTGTTAATATGGAACATAACTTGGACTGGAGGTGTCTTCTGCGATAGTTTAATTTAGCAGCATACTATCTCAGCGGACTGTGTGATTCGGATTTCTAACCATTTAGGGCCAGTCTAATCCTCCAGATGTGCTGCCTCCTGCCACTGTATTTCAGTGCCCAGCATTGAAAATAATTAGAAATCATGATTCAAAATCTGCTGTGTAGTACCTTACCAAATTAAGCTGTCACTACTTAACTGTAAATGCAACTTATCTGATATCACTAGAAAAGCGTTGTACTCAACATGGGATTTAAAATTTTTAAATAAGATATGGAAGTCCTAAATGTTAACTGGTGGTGATAGTTTAGTCTGTATCTAGTCTGAGTTGGTCTTGCAGACAAAAAAGGCTTAATAGAAGAGATGGTACTTGAAGTAATTTTGTCACAAGTCAATTTCCCAGCTCCAGTGTTTACCTTTAAACAATGCCCACGGATGAAAAAGCAGACTCAGATATAACTGAGATCAATAACTTCTCTATAAAATATTTATTTTGTGGTTTACTTGGTTCCCATTGTGCCTTAATCAAATGGATTAGAAATTGGACTCCTTATTACAGAGGTTTGGTTTTCACTCTACTTGGGAGTCAGAAAGGTGGACTAATTAGCGTTGTTGGTTGGTTTGTCAACTTGTTGAAATGAAGGCTGCGTGAGATAATATCTGTAAGTGAAGGAGATAAAATTGATCGATTTAAGTACAGCAATGCATCACTGGAATATTGTCTGCAGCAGCGTTAAAACATTTCGTAAAACGTTTTCTGTACAGTCCAGTTTCTATGTAAATTACAAAAATCTGCACATCAGAACATTGAATTATCATAACATATGAAAGGTGTACTTTTATTTGACTGGTTTAAGCCCTGGTAGAAGGTCCCTATATATGGTGCTGGTAACAGTCCATTTACAAGTTACCTCAAACGACCTTTGCGAACTGAATTAACTCATTTGTAGGGTGTTAAGTACAGGTATTAAGAGGGGGAAGTGGGTCGGAGCTAGACCACGTACAAGGGAGTACAGCTGATACAAGCTTCTACTTAAGTTGGTTTTACTCCTCACTCAGGGTATCACTTCAGTGTTTAAATTATTACGCGTATACATCTCCTTAATAAATACACCTTCTTTTCCACTATTGTAAAGGTTCCAAAAGAAAACACAAAGTCTGTCAGCCAACCTGTCAATTACATTCTCCGTTTCTTTTCTCCCCTATTGTATGATGTCTAAACAAACCAGTCCCATATCTCCCTTGTAGGGCTTTAAGCGCTTCGTTGCACCCGTCTTTGTGACAGGTTGTATGGCAAGGAGCGACTGGCTTGCTTGTCTTGATTATATGAATTATCTGCTTTTAGTAATGTTCTTTCAGTTAAGTTATTCACTTAGATATAATGCATAAGCCGTTTATATTTTGCTTTCACTGTAGTTGGCATTGTGCATACAATCAAAGTCTATTATGCCTCTTTCTGGGCAATATTTTGCTGCCTATCACAGTGCAGTTAGATTAAACAGTTTGTACCTCTTGTTTACTCTTATGTCGCCTTTCTTACAGCAAAAATTGAAAAGGAAACTCGAGGGGAACAATGGCGGTGAAAATATAGACTCGGGTTACCATTGTGATCAGGCAGCCTCGCCACAGGCCAAGCACAGTAGACCTTCCACGGCAACTCAGAACAGTGTGGGCAGCCTGTCAGTCCAAGTCCAGATTAAATCCCACTCAGAACATCCCCAGAACAGCCAGACTGACCTCACTGTCAGTGCCACTGTGCGCACACACGCTGGGGCTCTGAACGACGGCACCAATGTTCACACTAGCACTTCTGTAGACTGTAAACAGCCTAAACAGGAGCCTATAGAGGAACAGAGCTGCAGTCCCCCACTGGATGGCACGGATGTCAATGTCGATGAGCTCCAGGATATTCTAGACACACTCGCAAAGGAGGAGGGGGAGGGAATCCCCCCAGAACTGATGAAAGAAATACCAGCAGATATTCTCAAGGATTTTGATATCATTACACACTGTGCAGATGCCAAGGACAAGAGCCCAGGAGGGAGTACATATTCAAACAATGGCATGATGTATGGGGGTGCCACTCAAAGCATGCATCCACCCCAGTTCCCTGATGGCCAACAGGGCACCCCTGGGCCAATCTTTGATCAGCATATGAACCCTATGAACTCTGTGCCCAGTGGTCCCCCCATGCCTGCTGCTACCAATGCCTACAGGCAACAGCCACAGCACCTGCCTCACACGCCCAACACAGGGGGGCCACCACCCTCTTTGCTTGACACAGGGGGACCTGCAGCAGAGACATTAAAACAAATGGCTGCTCAACATCAGAGCTCGGGGGGAGGGTACCCCAATATGGCAGCCAAGCCACCGTATGCCGAGCAGCATGAGATGCAGTACTCCCGAGGTGCGTACCCTGGGTATCCCCAGTCTGCCATGCCATATAACCAGCAAGGGGTGTACCCTTACAGCCAGCAGGTCCCCAGGGCGGGGCCAGGGGAGGTGGAGGTACATCGGCAGCAGCTCCCCCCTGGTCACCCCATGGCAGGGGGCATGCAGGACCCCTCTTTATCCTACGCAGGCACCAAGCCTCTTTCTCATTACTCTCCTGACATGATGAATGGGATGCCACCATCGTCATTACGTCAGCTTCAGAATCAGTTTGGTCCTGCATCAAGCCAGGGGCAAGCTCTACCTGGAAATTCTCTGCAAATTACACAGAGCCAGAACATGGAGGTGATGCAGGGATCACAGAGAATGCAAGTGTCACAGACACAACATATGAACATTAACGCAGGGCAGGGGACCCCCATATCTATGGCTCAGAGACAGTCCTTTAACATTGCAGCACAACATGCACAAAACAATGCTCAGTATAACATGAACGAGCAACACATGCGTATGCAGCAACAGCAGCAGCATGCACACATGATGCAAGCGAAAATGCGTCAGGAGGAGCAGCAGAAACGGGAGATGGAACAGCAGCGACAGCACCAACAACAGCAGCAGCAGCAGGCGGCACACATGCAGTACCTCAATAACCGTCCGCCACCTCCGGAGTATAAAATGCACCCGGGCTCTGCTCCGCCCCATTCAGCGGCAGCTGCAGCAGCAGCATACCAAGCAAGCATGGGGTCCAGCAACCCTTTACAAACCATGCAAAACATGGTCAATCAAACAAGTGTCAATCAAAGTGCTGGCTTTGGACCTGTAAAAAGTGAAAACCTCCCAGGGACCCCTGGGACAGTAGGGCCCCCAGGGATTCAGGCAGGGTACTCTGCAGGAATGCAGAGGCAGCAAAGTTACCCTGGGGCTCCAGGCTCTCAGTCGGCATACAATCAGCCCAGCAAGCCCAGCACCCCCACGTACACCAGCCCTCTGATGAGAAATGAGAGGCCCCCTAATGTCAATGTGGGTCCTGCAGGGTTGAACATTTCTGAACAGCGGACCCCAAATTGGGGTCGCAGCCAGAGCCAGGGCCCTCATTACCCTGGCATGGCCCGCCCCCCACAACAAATGACACCTCACAGTATGATGCAATATGGGAGCTTTGCTGCTCAAAATGGCACCTACTCAACAGCGGGGTCAACAGGAGGGATGCAGGCCCAGCGTGCAATGATGTCAGGAGGAATTCCCCCTGGCTCTCTTCCCCCAGGGGCGGCACAAGAGAATGCAATGATGCAGCACAATATTCACATGCAGCAGCAACAGATGATGATGGCAGGGGGTGTACCCCAGCAAGGCCCCCCTGGGAGAAACTATCAAAATGGCGGCTATCCTTTAGACAATTCAGGAGATCTATTCGACTCTGTGAACACTCAAGGTACAGAGCTGAGTATCTTGGATCAAATCTTGGGCTGACCTCCGCCCACAGAGAGTATGTTGTTGTTTTCATCGGCGGGTTAGGATTCTTATAGGTACATGACCAGAAGTGTGAGATGGATTTGCTCAATATTTTTATTTTCAACTTCAAACAGCAGCACATCGAGCATTTGGTATGTACTCGGACCACATGAGTTTGTTGGCATAAATCAAAGAGTTCTGGCTATGGTTAAGTCTAGCTTTGATTTTGTGTCGAGGCAAAACCCAACACTTGTCCAACAGGGAACAGTGACTGGAAGTTCTGGTCATTTTCCGACTCCCAAGAGACATCAAAATTAATATTGGTAAATCATTGGGGAGAAAGATTTGTAATTCTTATTAATTTCACAGTATTAGTAATCTTTCAAAAAAAGCATACTATTATTGGAAAGCTGTCAATTACTATTCCAAAAACCAACTTCATACTTTGTGCACAGGAGCGTCGAGATTGTTGTCTATCTGACAGGCCTTAGACATTTATTGATGGAGAATCCAGTGAAGAAACCCCTAGTGCTGAAATTACCAACAAACTGCCACCAGCATGGACAGTTTAGCAAAACTACTATATATCCAAGTAAGGGGGCAGCTTACCTACAGTGAAGGGGGCTGGATCATGAATATTCCATGAGTGCACTTGAAATCCATACAGGGGTACCTTTGCATTGGACTGGACCTAAATGTGGATGGCTATGAGGATGGAAATCAGTGCAACTAAATAGAGTGATGGGTCTGCAGTGTAAACTGAGTTTGACGTAATTAAGGGAATGATTGAAAAGCCATTATTTAATTGATCCACAGAAGTTGTGCTCGCGGTTCATTTCAGAGGACCATGTCTGGTTTCTTCATGGATTGGGTTATATTTTTTAATCTGGAGATCTATACAAGTTGAAATAGGCTCTTCTTCACGAAGATTGCTTGTACATTATCAAAAATGAAACTGTTCTCATAGGGGCTATTTTTACAGATGATAGAAATATTTTGACATAAATTAGTCATTTAGTTTGTGATTACACTTTTAAAGTGTTCTTTGTAGAACTTATGTAAAGTAATCAATGCACATGTTATCTATTTAGATATTGTAATCATTTAATATGTTCATAATTACCTGTATACACTGTACACATTATATATAATATATTATATTATTATATTAAAATTACCAATTGTCACTTTTTATTAACAGATATCTACACCTGGGGGTTTTGAGGGATTTAGCATAATTTATAAACCAGTATAGAAAAATACACAAGTTTTAAGGTGTATTTTCTGGAAGATCTTGGCAATAGAGTGAAATAGTTTTCTTCTACAGTGTACAGCTTTACTGCATCTACAGAGGAAGAGTTACAAGTATTACATATGTTGGTATATGAAGTTCATGATATTGATCCATTTTATAAGTGGTTATGAGTTACAGTTTAGAGGGGGATGGGTGGGTCCTGCTCAACTCAAAAAACTTGTATGTAGTTCTTAACACCTGTCCTGAAAACTTTGTAACATTTGAATTTCTGTCTCCATAAGGAAGTTTTTCTTACTATTAATTTGTGATAGAAATATTCAACTACCTAGAGGGGTGAGGAAGAGGAGAAAAGAGTCAAAGTTATGGTTTGCAGGCGAAGTGCATAGAGGCGGGTACGGGAGATGCCTGTGTCTCCTATTTGCCGCAGTTGTCTGTAATTTTCGATGTGTAAAAGGTGGGTGAATCATTGCCAGTTTCTCTCCTAACCCAACTCCCATTTTGTATAATCCTTTACTCATTGATTGGTGCGGTCCAAATCTGCTATTGTAGAACTGCTCTGATTCGAATTGGTGTCGACTGCATCTCTGTGGCTGCTAACTGTATACCGCACAAAAGTAAGAATAACATGCTTTTGACAGGCTGATTACACCCCAATGCCAATGTGAATAACCTAACTAGTTGTGAAGTAAAGTCGTGCCATTGTTGGAGGTTTAAATTGTTAGTTGCCTAACTGAATGCATTACTGAAAATGGGCCAAATTATGTTTAAAACGGACATGGTTTCGGAGCGGGAAATTAATGATATTGTTACCTTTAAGTTGGGATCGGCGTGTTTAATTGCAGTGGAATGGTTGCATAGCCCAGTATCCCGAAGAACGTTTTGGAAACCCCTTTGACAGAAAACCACCGAAAACCACTCCTTTGAAGCAGTCACAAGGTCACCGCCTTCGTCTTATGTGGTGCGTGACCATTCTTTACGCAAAGACACGTCGAACATTTGGGACGGGAGGTGGGGTAGGAGCGATAAAACCCTCATTCTTCTCTGCTCTTGTTTGGTACCAAGCACCCCTCGCCATACATTTGTATGCGTCAGGCGGCGTTCACCCAGTAAATGTTACCTCTGTATGTAAAATCTTAATTAATTGCATTGTCTGTAGTCTTTTGTACGACACGGTAAATATTATACTGACTAAACTTGTTTCAAGATGATTTCTTTAAAAAGGAATAGCCCACCCTCAATTGGTTCTCTTTTTAACTTTATTGCAATTCTAACATTTACACATAATTTTTTCGGATCGAAACATCATACACTTGTCTGCTCAGTATTGCATGGAAGGCCTACCAACTTTTGAAACCCAAAGTTTTTAAGTTTGCTTATACAGGTAAGGGCTGTGTTTGGTGCAAAACATATGGGTGCTGTTGGAGATCTAAATCAAATTTGTTACATTAATCGAATATTTCTGCGTTTGATATAATGCAGCGTGCTCACATATGCCTTTTAAGTTTCCAGAATGTTAACATATGAATTCCCTTGATATTCAAAGCACTGGACTTTGGTCTTTGCAAAAAGAAGGGAGTGATCGAGGTAGACAGGCCTGTTCACTGATTCACCAAAATTAATCTGTGTAGAAGCACTTATTTATTCCAGACATTAAAAAATGGACTCTATTTTGAGATGCTCTAGTTCAGGAATAAAACTCGAGTTAACGCTTGGTGGAGATGGTGCCGACCCCAGCACTGTTTTTTAACCAGTTGGATATAAAGCTGGTGCTTTTCTATAAGATTTTCTTGAAAAAAATCTTATTATTACTTTATTTAAAAATTAGAATTTTGATTGTTCTTGTAGACATTTATTAATTTGGAAAATCTGCTACAATGCAAATATCGTGCTAAAATAATAAGGGACAGAAACTATTTTAAAAATATGTTCAAGTAAAAAACATTTTGATTATGATTGATTACAACCGAATTCCTTGCGTCCAACGTAAAAAAAAAACGGTCGGAGTATGTGAGAAAGGTGGATACGACGGGGATGGATTTGGATTAGAGTTTGATGTCGGACAAAAAAAAAGAATAAAATGGCCCGAGCTTCAGAGCCCTTCAAAAAATTAACAAAAACTGATGTAAAACGTGACACGATCAATATTCACAGGAAATCATGATTTAAAAAAGCGACTGTCACAGATAAGTTGTCCTCCGCTGGTGAGATACGCTAGGAGCGCTGTTGAACACCGTTGGTACTTATGTATGCAGCGTGAAAGTCTGCATAAAAAATACTATAAATTATGTGTGATAAAACGGGTAATTTTCCATTGAACAGAACATATTTCATGCGTGAAAATCATCTTCAATTGTGTATACACAGTAACAATCATGTCTCGTGACTTTTTCCTATCAGCCACACGAAGCTTCGGCTTAGAAATTGCCAGCTGGCGTTGTACCTGCTAGACTTTCAGTATATCTTGTAGACGGGGACGCAAAGTTAACTGTGGAAGGCCCAGCCCTATTTGTCAAACCGCGCGAAATACTTCTTGCATATTTTTTATATATGTAAAGGTTTATCTACAGGGGTTATAAAGTAGAAACTCGGGGAATAATTTTGGATTTGATGTTTGCCAACGAAAGATTTATCTAGTAAACTAACAGCAATGTTCATTCATTTTTATGCGTCAAATCTTTGTCGCTGTTATTAATACGAGCTAGTTGTACGAGTAAGGTACAGAGCATCCGTATGTTTGCCATATATTTTATCATTTACTCTTTTGTATAGATACAACCCTTCCTACAGAAATGCCATACACATATATCATTTGTAAATAGTGATCATTTATGTACATAGTCTTCTTAAGAATAAAACGGTTATTACAAACTATTCGACTTTTTTGTATTTGAGCAGGAAATTGTTTACAAATCAAATTGAGCATTTTTCATTAAACTTCATGGGTTGTCTACATCCGTACCTCACCATGGGTTACTTGCTTTTGCTAAAATAATACCTGAAATAAGAGGTTTTTGTGTTGTTACGTAAGGAAATCGGCTTAAATGGCGTAGATTATGCTTAAAACTCGATTGAATGTTGTATCCAGCCGAGCGTGCTACAATCCGTACATCTTCTTGATAATGCCACGGTTTTTTCCGTGTAAATGTAAATGTCGCTGGAATATTCCACAACTGGAAAAATTGGTAAGTTGCTGATCAAGCGCGCAGTGTTGGGGATGTTGTCTATCATCACTGTGTTTCATTTGGTGCGACTTAAGTTCGATTTCTTTTAAATTCAATTTAATTGCAGTACACATAGCCAGTTTAAAGGGGTTACTAGAATAATAGTTATCAGAATGTGCAATTTCGTTAAATGGTTGATAACTTTATAGTACAAAACACATAACAAAACAAGCCTATAGCCATAGCCGAAGAAACGCAGGTTGTGTATAAATGGAAAGAGATCGCTATTCTGAGTCAGTGAGTGACAAATGTGTACCACGTACAATCTGGATTTTGGAATTCAGAACCCGTGAGAATATGAGCACTAAAATGATATTGTCCATCTTAATCATTGATTTCTCGAAGCTATTTTTTCTTCTCCTTTTTTATCTGTCACCCTATCACTTTCGGCTAATAAGATAATTATCAACAGAAATAACAGTAATCCAGTAATGGGCAGTCAACATTTGCCTGAAGATAGAGAAAAAAATCAAACACTGTGTTATTAAGCACATCAGACAACGGTGCTTGCGGTACTTTCCATTTCTCAAACTGTGTCGGGGAAATACACAGCAACTTTGTCTAAAAGAATTGGTCAGTTTTTCCGTCCAGCTGTAGGAGAGAACGAGAGGCTCCACTGAGACTCAGGTCACTGATGATTGACTATTGTCGTCGAGGAAAGTGCTTGCACTCGTCTAAATACAATTTCTTTTTGTCTTTTTTCTTTATTTTACTTTCTTACAGAATTGAGAGTTTCTCTGAAAGAGATTGGCATAGAAAGTAAATGGAGAAATACAAAATCGACCGCGTGGCGCGTCTTCTGTTTACCACCAAACTTCTAATAAATAACAACACATTTATCAGATTTACCGATCATCAGATTAAAAAAAGCTCTTCTTGGCAAGTACAGAAGATTCGCTCGTCGCGTAGAACACACTCTATATAATTTCACTTGCCACTGAAATCGTGATGATTAACCAGGAAAAGGGGGAATTCGTTTTAGAGTCAACAAGGAAGTAACATAAAAACATCCTGCATGTTATTTGAATGTACATGTCAAGAAAAAAAAATTAATAACATGTTCGCCCCTTATAGAAGTTTGTTAAAAGTTTTTTTGCCTCATTAGTTTTCAAGATAATCACGCATTACTTCACGCGAGGATCACATTTCTATACCGCCAATTAAAACAAAGGCGTGGATCCAAGAGGCAGACAGTACTGAGTTTATTCATTATATATTAATGTTGAATCGCGTTCCACCGTCTCATCAATCTTATGACTGTCAGTTATTAGCCCGGCGGAAATTACAATTACATTCATACTAAAAATTGTTACACTGTAATTACCCACGGAGCTACCAAATAATTGCACTGTTTTAGGCGGAAACCGATGTAAATGACATTTATCTATTCGTGCAAATTACCTGAAGTGTTTCAATGTTAGCAGCGTACGTTTTTTTTTTATCCCGATGTGTAAGGTCAGGAAAGTTAAAATCGTCAAACTTTTTATTTCGTATGTTTTATACCTCTGCCAAGGAGGTTATGTTTTCACCCCTGTCTGTCATCAACATAACTCCAAAGTTATGGACCGATTTTGATGAAATTTTCAGGAACTGTCAGCAGTGGGCCAAGGAACAGATGCTTAGTTTTTGGTGGTGATCCGGATCAATAATCAATAATAATCAAAAATCGCTGCCTTGGCGGAGGTCTGCGCTCTCGTTGGT